CGACTTGGCGATCTCCACCATTCGCTTCGTTGCATCCACGAAGCTGAGGTAGGCCTCGTCGCAGGCCACTTGGGCCTCCTCGATCTCCCGCGGTAGCTCTTCCGCGACGTGTTCGAATCTTCGTAGCTCAGGCCTCGCTCCCACTCGTGATCGTTCGTGTAGTTCGCATCGCCCTTCAAGCTCTGACCGGCAAGCGTCTTCTCTACTCGCTTCACATCTCGCTTGTCGGCATCGCTTCGGCTCCATACTTGTCGAGCAGGGCTTTCTTCACCATCGTCCAACCGAGGCCGTCTACACACTGACTTCGAACCTGGGCGGCGCCCGATACGGGTATAACCGCTCGCGTGAAGAGGTGCCAGCCCGCCAGCATCTCTGGGCTCTTCATCCCAACCTCCTTGAGTTTCCTGAGCTCTCTCTTGTGGCGTAGGCAGTACAGCTTCATTGTCTCCTTCTCCTGGCGAACGAACTTGCCGAAAAAGAGATCTGTGCGGGCTGGCAGCTCTGTCTGGTTGTCGAACTTGCAATACTCGTCCAGCACCTGGAACAATGGCCTGGTAGCCTCCTCCGTCTCCAGCAAGTCCAGGTCGATATCCTCCGTAGCCTCCGCGGTGTCGCCTTGCAGTGAGTTCATGGCCACAAACGCTCCCTCACCGACGGCCGTGGTGCCGCGCTTCTTGCAGCAACGCTCGAAGACCTCCAGCTTTCGTCGAAGTGCTCGATAGCCGTCGGTCCTCAGCAGCTCGTAATTCGGCGCCGTCTTGGACAAGCCTGCATCTCGGCCTCGTCCTCCTCCTCCGACCCAAATGGAGCTCTCTTGTCGGTTCCACCAGCCTTGCCAGCCATTCCAGTCCGTGTAGTTGGCCTGGTCGCCGTCCACGCTGCTCGGCGGGATGCGACTGCCCTCCGCGCCGGCGTCGGCGGGCGCGGCGGCTGAGGCTGCCGGCGGGCCGCAGGGCGGCGGCTTGGCCGGGGGTGGCGCGCGAGGCGCGCCGTCTGGCATGGCGGCGACGGAGGAACCGGAGAGAGTGGATCTCCGGCTCCGTTACCAACACCAACCGACGGTAGCACTCGAAGTCTCCTCGGGATGTGTTCGATAAAACTGATTATCTTGATAAGCGTATCCGCCCGTAAGATACGCAACTTTTTAACTGACGCAGGGCCCCCCGAACATCGAAAGGCGATGGTACAGACATATGTGAAACAATTGCTTGCAACACACCTGCTATGCTGAAGCTGCTGAGCTGTGCTAATACACAAGACCACGTACATCAACTCGGTATAGCTGGGGTTATATTGACACATTGGGAGCTCCACCGAAGGCCCCTGTGGCAGGGTCCGCATGCGGTTCCCCACCCATCATGTCGGAACGCCCGTCAAACGCTTCGTGGCCCCATAGGGAGCTCCACCGAAGCCCCAATGACAGGGTCCGCATGCGGTTCCCCGACCATGTCGGCACACCCCTCACACGTTTCGTCGCCCCATATGGAGCTCCACGGAGAGCCCCAGTGGCAGATTCCGCATGCGGTTCCCCGCCCATTGTCGGCACACCCCTGACACGGCGCGTGGCCCCATAGGGGGGCCCGTCGAACGATGAACCCAGAACGCGGTACCTAGAACTGCTTACGCTTGGGCCCTTCGTCTGGCTATTTTGTTGGACGGGAGCGTTGTTGCGGAGAGGGAAAGAGCAGGGGGCGGGCGCCCCATCGAAAACCAGTGCAACACGCTTTGAGATTCATGGTCGAACATGACGCGGCGTACATGTTTACAAATTTACTACAGGAGGATGACGGGCAAATCTCGAGTTGTTTGGCCCCGAGAGCCTCCGCGGGGAGGAAACATGTAGTCTCTGTCAGATTTGGAATCGGCTGGCGAGTGTGTAGCGCATCTGCTAGTGTTTGGCATGAAGGATTCAGTGGCGACGGGTCCGGAGCTCCCGAGGATACTTTTCGCTTCGTTTTCGTTGTCGGGAGGAGGAAGAGGAGGAGGAGGAGGAGGAGGAGGAGGAGGAGGAGGAGGAGGAGGAGGAGGAGGAGGAGGAGGGGGAGGAGGAGAAGGAGGAGGAGGAGGACGACGACGACGGGCCAGTGCTCTGCCGACCAAGGGTGTGTCACGGTGGCCGACATGTTTCCTTTTCGGACTGTTGTGAGCCCCAGTCCTAGGTTTGCCTGGAGTGGCGGGGCGGGCTCGCTGTTGCCACATGCTGTTGCCACTTGCTGTCGCCACTTGCTGTTGCCGTTTGGGATTGCCACCTGCTGTTGCCAACTGGTGTTGCAACTTGATGCCCCGGCTATTGCCCCTTGCGGTTGCCACTTGCTGTTGCCACTTTGTGTTATTACCTGATGTTGCCATTTGCTGTTGCCGCATGCTGCTGTTGCCGCTTGTTTTCGCCACTTCTGTTGCCACTTGATGCGCCCGATGTTGCCACTTGCTGTTGCCGTGTGCTGTGGCCATTGGTTGTTGTCACTTGCTGGTGCCATTTGATATTGCCACATGCTGTTGG